CTATGAGTCCCAAGATCCCCCATGCAGGGGTCTGATCCACCCCCTTCTCCTCAGACACACAGGAAAAAGGGTGCAGGACCCTGCCGTGCCAACACAGAGCGTCTAACAGCCCTGCTGGCATGGGATCCAGCCTGTGTTCATGCAGCGCCAGTCGGAGGAGAATGATATCTCCCCTCTCCCAACTGTCCTCAGCTAAGAGGGGCCTCAGCCAACAGTGCCACAGCCCAGACCACTGCCCCAGCCTCGGCCTTCCTCTGGGGTTGCCAAAGAGCCTGGTCAAGCCTCGGCAGACATTGGGTTAGTGCTGGTTATGCAAGGACACTAGAGGACCCTTCCCAACCCCACCCCGCAGCCATGGCCCAGTGCCTAGGCCTGTCCTCAGTGCAGGGGCCATGCCACGATGCCGTGCTGTGGGCAGCACACTTGCAGGACTGGAGAGCCATGCAGGGAAGGTTGTCTCTCCTCCAAGCTGAACTGTTCCTTTTCTATACACCCCACTCCACCCAGGGACAAAATCCGGTGCTGCCTTTGCTCCCTGCCCCTGCCAACCAGAACCCAGGAGACCCCTGCGAGAGCTCCCGTTGCCCAGGGCTCCCCAGCGAGCTTGGATCCAGTTATTCCCATCTGATGCAGCTAGGACAGCAGTAGTTACAGCAGAGATTCCCATCCCACAACAGTTTCCCAGCGAGGCTGTAGCCCGTCGGGGTGAGGGTGATGCCTGCATTACCACCCCCGCACAACAGCTTCAGGTGTAATTCAGCTGCTTCATTCCATCCTTGGGGACTGGACAGGGACCAGCCACAGGTCTCAACATCAGCAGCCACACAACCACACCATGGTCCTGAGCACCCGCTAGGGTCAACTGCATCTCACAGGAGTATCTGTTCAGCTGGACCTCAGGGCACCTGATGTTGGTGGGAAGTGATTGCTACCTATGCAGCTGGGTGGAGGGGAAACACCAAGGCCATGTTCCCCTCACATGTGCCTAACACACTTCTCCAGCTCCCTAAAGTATGCAGCAGGCTCTGTCATTAGTTTTTCTTATTCCTAAAGCACCCTAAATGGAGAAGTGCTGGCAAGAACAGTTGGCGCCAACCCACAACGGAGCTCCTTCAGAGCAGCATGATGCCCAGGCTGGCGGCAGAGGCAGGATACAAAAGGGTTAACTTAAAAAGCTGATGCTCTCCCCCTCGCCCCCAGCCCCAGCATACAGGAGGGGCTGTGGTAAGGTGCTTCTTGGCCCGGGTCAGGGCCCTGTGGGTCCCACGTTGCCAGGAGAGATGCCAGCCCACGGCCCACCTCCTACACACAGGAAGGGGAGCACCGCAAGGGCCGAGCAGCCACTGCCCCGCTCTGCTGCTTGCCTGACTGACACTAATAAGCACGAACCATCTGGTGGTGGACAGAGCTGTTGGTACCCCTGGTGACAGCAGTGGTACAGCCACACCAGAGACAGACAACACCCAGTGCACGCTTCCCCAAACCACAGCCTGCAGCTTGCAGCAGGCAGGGATGTGAGAGCAGATGGGGCCTGGAAAGACAAAGGCCTGACAAATACAGCCAGACATGCACCCTCCTGCCTTGGCAGCTGTGCAATCAGGGGCCAGATGGACCAGGGGCTGAAAATACAGCTGCCCCTCCCAGCATAGACGCACACCTCTTCCCACGCAGGGGGTTGTGGACTGAGGGTACCAACAGATGAAGGGCTGAAAATACACACGCACACACACGCACACCCCATTCCTGCTTGTGGGGTTGTGGATACAGCATAAAAAACAGATGAAGAGCAGAAAATCTTCCCCTCTCCCCACACAGCTCCTGCCAAAAGAAGCGAGGAGAAAAGGAGATGGAGAGCGGAGGCCAACAGAAGCACCCTCCTTCTCACCTGCCCCGACTGAGGCCTGGCAATGGATCACGGACAGCCAAAAGGCTGCCCGCTCCGCTCCAAGCACGCGTGTGTCTATCTGCCTTTGGGGAGGCCTTCGTCACCTATGCTGCTATCAGACAGCAGTAGTGCAAGCAGTCAGCTCAGGAGATGGCAGGGCTGGGGTGGAAACACCACCACACCCAATGCTGGCCTGGATGGCAGAGGGGGGCAGAGAGCCCATGAGCCATTCAGGCTCCAGCTCATCCCCAGAGTCTTTTAAGGAGCCCCTCGCGCAAGGATGGCGGAGCGCACTGTTGAGGGTGACTGCAGGGTTTCTGCTGGGGTGGTTGGTTTGGGGTTGAGGGCACTTGGCACTCCTGGGGCTGGGCTAACCACACGAGCCAGGAAGGTAAGAGGAAGGTAAGGACCGGCATCCAGTCCCTCGCTCTCGCCCCGAATCAACCAGTCTCCATAGCTGCCATTTGTGCTGGGGCTGGCAGGGAAGCCAGGAGGCCGATGACTGCCATACTGTGCAGCGTGGACCTGCTTGGGTTTCCCAGCAAGCAGGTAAGGCCCCAGGATGAGACCAGGTCTCCCCCTTACTTCACTCTCCAGGCTGCCCACCGAGCATGTCCCTACACGATTTCCTCCCAGGACTGGGTGGGGGGACACAAGGGACCCATCTGGACACAACAATTATTTACCCAGGTTAAACAACCCCCTTGACGGTGAGGGGATGCTCCAGGGGTCTTGCTGGGTTTGACACAGGGTTGGCACATCCCTGTGTGCTACTGCTCCCACCTCTGGCCTGGGATGTGCTTGAACACGCCAAGCTGCCCCACGCTCTCAGGATCACCGTGAAAATAACACGACCCGATGCACAGCACAGGAAAAGCCGCCCAAGACGCATGAGCTGGTGCTACTGCCGGACTATAGACCGCGCCACAGAGATGGGACTCAGATGCACTCCCAGCTGATCACAGGGCTTCTCCCCCTTGACAGGTGCCTCTAATTTATTTGGATTTCCCCTTCCTCTCTCCTGTCCTTTCCAGCACTTGCCATTCGCTCACTTCCCCAGAAGTACGGCCTTCCTCTGGGTGTCGGGTTTTTCACTGTGGGACTCCATTTACTTCTTACTAGAGAATTGACTGAGCCCTCTAGTAACCAAGATCCCTCCTCAAGTGTTGTGTGGGCCAAAACCTCAGCTGGTGTAAACCAGCATCACTCCACCGCTTTCAGCTATGTACTTCGTATAAGGTGATGATGACTTCAGCCAGACAAGGTAATGCTAGTCCCATTTTAGAGCCCAGGAAAGCAAAACACTGAGCAGGTAAAGCCATTTTCCTCCAAGACAGAGCCAGGAGCAAAAGGGTCCAGTCTGATCCTAAATCTACTAGATCACACTGGCTCCCCAAACAGGCCGAGTGGAAAGACAAGCATCTCCATCCATCACACCTAGAGACTAACCCAGGGCCACAGCATTCCCTGGATTGACATGGCCATTATTTCTTCAGAGCAAGAGAAAGCGGTGCCATTTCCCAGAGCTGTGCCAGCCTGTCTCCTCCCTCAGGATCTCTGCTCGCAGCTTTGGAAGATGGTCGTGGCTCTTTCTAAGAAACGAACTAATGCCTCCAGGGGGAAGGGGGTGTTTAAACAGTGCCCCTGGTGACAGGCGAGGAGCTTACTCCCCAGTTCGGGGCACAAGGACCGCTGGGCAATCATAAGCTCTGGCATTGCTCTTCCACCCCAGAGCAACCCACACTCCTCTACAATTTACATGTCCTGAGAGGGCCTGTGCAGTGCAGGGCAGGGGAAAATTGGGGATAAAAGGACTGCTGCAAGCTCCCGTTATGAAAAACGCCAGGTGAATTTTAATGCCCTACACACAGAGCAAAATCAGTTGCAAGGAATTCTGTTCCTGCGCTGTGGTTCACACCCGAGGACCTCGGTCTCTAGTTATTTTGCACCTGATAACTACACTGCCCCAGGAGAGTCCTTAAATGCCTGCAGCATCAGGTCACCCAGCTAGCACAAGGGGATCTGGGGGACCCCTGGAAAATGGGCACTCGAACCCTGCCTTGTACCGGCCCATTCAACATTTGGGTGGAAGGGTGCTGCAAGAAGGGCTCCGCTAGGGCCGGGGCTGAGAAGGGACAGCAACACTGGTCACCTTGGTAGAATAAAGCAAGGGAAGGCGACAATGAAAGGACAGAGGCATTCCCCCTCGCTAAGCTGGTCCCAGCCCACTCCAGGCCTAACCCGCCGGCCGTGCACGGCGCTCGGAGAACCGGACGCAGCCCCAAGCGGCGCACGAGGACCGCTCCAAATCCCTGCCTGCGAGGGCTCCCTCAACATGACCTCTACTCGGCAGCAGCTCGGACGCGCTCGGGCCCGCAGAGGCAGAAAATCATTCTCACGAGCCAGCAGGCAACTTGGTGCAGAAGGGGCCCAGGCAGAAGCGTGGAGACGACCGTCTGCCGGGTGCCGCTCTACCTGGCCTCCCGCAGACCCCGGCGTCACAGCACAGAGACCCGTGCCTAAAAAGACCCGAGGCACGCACCGCTCCACGGACAGGGTAGCCAGCCCCGGGCGACTCGAGAAACGATCTTGCACGGAGACAGGGGACGAACCTCACTGTTACACAATCCCACACAGTGCAACGTCTGTCCAGTCATAAGCTCGTGCCCTCCTTAAGAAAAAGAAGGCTTTTCTCAGGAATCCCACCCTATATCTTCTCCATTTGTTAACAGCACCCGGCAACCACCCCAATACCAGGCACCCGAATAAGTCAGGGAGCAAAAAAGCACGGGGGGGGGGGGAAGGGGGATTCAACGCCAGGCAGAGATGGAAGAAAAGCCTCAAAGTGACACCGTCCTCGCGAGCGCCGTGCCTCCTTCTTTGGAGCCGCAACAGCAAACGCCCCGGCTCCGCGCGCACGAATCGGTGTCACGTCCCCGGGGACGAGGGAAAGGGGATGACGAGCCGAAGTTGCTCACTTTCCGAGAGGCGAAGGAAAACGGGGCGCCGGGCTCGCGGGGCGGGGGAGGAAACGCGGCTCGGGGTTGGGGGAGAAGGGGAGGACGAGACCTCCGACCGCAGCTGTCCCCTGGCGCGCGGGGGGTGCGGGACTTACCGTCCACAGTTGCAGTGGCAAACTCGGTCCTCTCCTCGCAGATGCGGTAGGATGTAATTGTGAAACCGGTCCAGCAGCGCGTTCATGTCCATCAAGCAAGCTATTGCCTGTAAGAGCCCATAACCAAGGCATCGGGTCAACTCTAGATGGTGGAATAAAACATTGACTCGAGTTGGCTGGCGAGAGGCAGGAGCAGGCAGAGACAAGCAGAGACGAGCACACACACGCACGCACGCAAAACAAGGACGGGGGAAATGCGGGAGGCTTTTTTGGAGGGGGGGGTTGTGTCTCTAAAGGGGACGCGCGCGGGGACGGCCACCAGCTCTTACCATCACGACGGAGGCGCCCAGGACCATGAAGATCATGGTGTTCGCATTCATGGGCGTCAGGCGGCCGCGGACCCGGGCTGGCTCGGCCGCCCCC